TTTTAAAATCACTAAAATGAATGGTAAGAAAGATCCATAAAAATTATGCAAATAGTATTTCAATATCCATTCCACAGATATCTATAGAGTAGAAGTTGTTAACCAGATTTCAAAGGTGAAGGAAAAAAAAGAAAAACGATAAGGAATTTCAGTATCTGTAAGGTGTTCAATATCACTAGAACTTTTAGAGTTTGAAGGTATCTAACACAATTGAACCTGAACAAGTAGAGAAAGGCCACATCATGAAACATCTTGTAGGCCACATTAAAGAAATTTGGATGTTTTTCTTGAGGGAAATGGGAAACTATAGGAGGGTTTAAAGGTTGGTAATAATTATGTTTTAGATCATTCTGGGCAGCAGTATGGAAAATTGATTGATGACAGGCCAATCAAGAATGACTGTTGAGGTCATGCAAGAAGGGATAGAGTGATTATGGATCACATAGAAATTCAGAAGGTAGAACTGATGGGATTTGGTGATTTAATGGATGTTTGTATAGAGAAGGTTTTATACAATGGAGACAGAGTGAAGAGTCATGAATGACGCCCAGGAACAGCTAGGTAAATAGTTGTGCCATGAAGAGTAGACACATTAAGAATGAATGGACACAGCCACATCAATGTTTATAGCAGCACAATTCACAGTTAAACTGTGGAACCAACCTAGATGCCCTTCAATAAATGGATAAAAAAAAATGTGGCATATATACACAATGGAATACTACTCAGCAATAAAGTGGAATAAAATCATGGCATTTGCAGGTAAATGGATGTAGTTAGAGAAGATAATGCTAAGTGAAGTTAGCCAAATCCAAAAAACTAAATGCTGACTGTTTTCTCTGATATAAGGAGGATGATTCATAGTTGGGTAGGGAAGGGGAGCATGGGAGGAATAGACGAATTCTAGATAGAGCAGAGGGGTGGGAGGGGAAGAGAGGGATATGGGGTTAGAAATGATGGTGGAATGTGATGGACATTATTATCCAATAAGATAATATATATGTATAAAGACACAAATTGGTATGAATATACTTTGTATACAACAAGAGATATGAAAAATTGTACTCTGTATGTGTAATAAGAATTGTAGTGCATTCTGCTGTCATATATAAATAAAAAACTAATAAAAAGAAAAATAAATTAATGTTTGCTAATGCATTTACATATAGAGATCTCAGTCATTATAAAATAATTATATGTGATATGCTTTATAATTTAGCAATGATAACTGATCCTGTGATTTTTTTCAATCTAACAAATTAGAAAATCAAATCACAGGTAAAATACTTTCTCAAGGTCTCTTATTAGAAATTAGAGTACCAATATGGATACTGTATCATTCTAACACTGAAGACACAAGGAACTGTTTGATGAAATCATCACCATTATAATTTTCATTGATGATCAAACTATTGAAAGTTTCCTTTGTGCTAGACTCTGATCAGTACTCATCATTTAATTCTTACAAGTACCCTAATGAAGTCCATGCTTTTATCTTAATTTTAGAAGTAAAGAAACTGAGATTGAGACATCAAATAAGCCCTAAGTTCACATGGATGTTAAATGCCAAAACTGAGATTTAATGTCCCAAATCCGATGCCATAGACAGTACTTCCAACTGTGCCAACCTGCCTCAGACACCATGACTAGGTGCACTGTAGCCATAGTTCCTTGACAAATGGTATACAGGTGAAAGGTGTTTACTAAATCCATGGTCTTCTTAATTTGAATTTTTGGTTTATGTTAACAGTAGAACTTCAGATAATCATATTGAGCATGTGGAAATTAATTCCAGTCATTAAAGTCAAATCACTGATCTTGAGCTTGGCGTAGTGGCACACGCCTGTAATCCCAATGGGCTCAGGAGTCTGAGACAGGAGAAAGGAGAGTTCAAAGCCAGCCTCAGCAACAGCAAGGTGCTAAGAAACTCAGTGAGATCCTGTCTCTAAATAAAATAAAAAATAGGGCCAGGGATGTGGCTCAGTGATTAAGTGCCCCTGTGTTCCATCCTCAGTACAGACAAAAAAAAAAACTCCCCCAAAACAAACAAACAAAAAACAACTGATCTTACCTGTTTTAAAATCTTGGATCATTATAAACATTCTCTACATCTGCAAGATGTCAGTTACTTAAAGATAATTATACTCAGCAAGAGAAGCCAAGTTATGTTGTTGTAACCAACAATCTCTGAATACCAGCGAGTTTAAATGATAAATGTTTCTTTCTCATTCATATTGCACATTCATTATAGGTGAATAGACTTCTCTACTCCATAATATACAGAGGCAGCCACCCGTTTCCAGCGTTAAATTGTTATTTATCAAGGCAAAGGAGAGGCAGTCTGTGCCCATCCTTAAATTCCAGTGATATATGTCACCTCCACTGACATTTGCCCAAATATGTCACATGTCCAACTTTAAGGAACAGAGAAATATAATCCTATCATATTCCTGAACAGAGAAAGACTAGAAATGTCTACTTTGGAAATGCATGACTATCCTAGATGTTAGTTCCATCATTAGAGAGTTTCCAGGATTAAATATGTGGGAGAAAAGTTGAATTAAGGTTGAAGAAATTTCCTAACAATAAGGTTTCTCTGAGTCCTTACTATATTAATATACATTATCAATCTCTAAGAAAGGGTCTATTAATATGGAATCATTTTTTCCCAAAATATCTGCAAAGACTCATGTTCTAAAGAAAACACTTCAAGATACAGTACCCTAAAGCTCTACTGTTAGGGTCGGGCAAACATCGGAGGAAAGAACCACCAAGAGACTGTCTCATGCAAAAGCAAAGGGGTTTACTGGACCAGCATGCTGGGGTTCAGAGTTCTCCTGAGAGAAGCTGGAGCTCTGAGCACAGCTTAAGCAGAGTTTTTATGCAGTGTTTAAACAGGGAAGTTCATATGGCAGTTAGGGTTCGAGGGTGGGATTGTTACAAAATAACAATTACAGAATAATCATGCGTTTTGTCAGGGGGTGTTGGGTCAGGGTACATTTTGACATAAGTAACTGTTTTTAACATAAGTTTCGGGTTCCAGGAAAACAAAACTTAAACTTAACAGGAGAGCAAAACTTAAATTTAACCTTTACATTCCCCACTTCTTTTTCTGAGTACTTCTAATCTTAGAAGTGACAGATTATTGAGGGGTATCACACTCTGTGTCTGCTAAAGGGACATACTGTTGTCTTATTACCATAAGTTTAACTTGTCCAATTTGAGCTTGGAGAAAGGAGACCACACGGTTGAGTAAACAGGGTCCCACAGTTAACAATAACATGAGGATTATTAAAGGACCAGCTAGGGCTGATAAGAGTGTAGTTAGCCAGGGGGATTGTGTGAACCAAGACTCAAACCATCCTTTTTGAGTTTCTCTCTCTCGTTGTCGCTCCTCAAGGTGTTTTCTTAATTTAGTCATTGATTCTTTGACTACCCCACTATGGTCAGCATAGAAGCAACATTTCTCCCTTAAGGCAGCACAGAGTCCCCCTTCCCTCATGAAGAGGAGGTCTAACCCTCGTCTATTTTGTAAAACAACTTTAGAGAGAGAGGTTAGGGACTCTTGTAAGGCTGTGATGGAGGTTTCTAATGTTTTTAAGTCCTGATCTATTGCTGCTTGTAATTGGGCCATTTGTTGAGACCCATGGACCAGGGCAGCGGTTCCTGTACCCACTCCTATAGCAACTCCTATTTCTAATAATATGGCTAAAGTGAGGGACACAGGTTCCCGGCGGAATCGGGTGGTATATCCCCTTATTTGATCTTCAAATGGATTTGCGTCATGATAGAGCACTCTGGGAAATATTTGTACCATTACACAATAATTTACAGAGTTGTTAAATATCTGGGCTGAAATGCAAGGAGTTAACCCTGAGTCACATGCCCACCAGGTTCCTTTCCAGCGAGGCTCCAGGAATGACACCTGATGTCGTCTTATATAGACGAAGTCTCCCACTTGGTATTGGTGTGGGGTCCCTTCGTCTCCAGGTTGGCAGGAAGCAGCCAGCTGTTTCCACAGGTACTGCTGGGTTTTTTCAAGAGCTTTAAGTCTGTCAAGCAAGGGAGTATGGAAGGAATCATTAAGTTTCAAAGTTGGGGTTAGGTCTCTTATTGGAGGAGGGGTACCATAGAGAACTTCATAGGGGGTAAGATTACATAAAGAGACTGAGGGAGTATTTCTTGCACGAAACAGTGTATAAGGTAGGAGCATAGTCCAATCTTTTATGCCGGTCTCTAAGCTCAATTTTGTTAAGGTCTCTTTAATAGTCCTATTCATCCTTTCTACCTGTCCTGAGCTCTGGGGTCTATAAGCACAATGTAACTTCCAATTAATCCCCAGGGTCCTGGCCAATCCCTGACTTACCTGGGCCACGAACGCCGGTCTATTATCGGACCCTATTACCTTAGGCAGGCCGAATCTCGGGAAGATGTCCTCCAGGATCTTTTTGATTACCACTTGAGCTGTTTCTTTTTTCGTGGGGAAGGCTTCAACCCACCCTGAAAAAGTATCTACAAAAAACTAGAAGATACTTAAGTCCATACCTTGCTGGTTTAATTTCAGTAAAGTCTATTTCCCAGAATTGTCCTGGTCTGGTCCCTCGTAGGCGCTTCCCTGTAGGAAGCTTGGAAGGGTAAGCATTAACCAATTGACAGACCCGGCAGGCTTCTATTACCCGTTTGGCTATTTCTTTTCGTTGTGTGCTGGTCAGCGGAAATTTCTGCTCTTGGTCCTTCAGGAATGCCTGTAGTTTTTTTGAACCAAGGTGAGTGAGTTGATGCACATCTTTAACATAGTGTAGGGCTTTTTGAAATTGCAGGCTAGGCCCGGTGGAGTCAAGGAGTTCAGTTTCAGTGTCCTCAGGTGTCAAATTGCCTGGGTACTCCGATGCAGTTAAATCTCCTGACTGTTGTTCCCCCGGTGAGGAAAGTGTTAACTCGGTTACTCCGGTCAGAGCTGCCAACTTAGCTTCCTCATCTGCCCTTCTGTTTCAGACCGCCACGGGATCATTTCCCTTTTGGTGCCCTGGGCAGTGCACTATAGCTAGTTATTTGGGGTTTTGCACTGCTGAGAGAAGGCGGAGAATCTCATCTTTGTTTTTTATTTCTTTTTCGGCCGAGGTTAATAGCCCCCTTTGCTGATAAATAGCCCCATGTATATGTGCGGTAGCAAACGCATATCGGCTATCAGTATATATGGTGGTCTTTTTGCCTGTTGCTAGTTCTAATGCCTTCATAAGAGCGATCAGCTCTGCCTTTTGTGCAGATGTCCCTTCCAGGAGACTAGAGGACCAGATGACTTTTGTCCTGCTAACTACTGCTGCCCCAGCTCTCCGCTTACCGTCCTGGAGGAAGCTGCTGCCGTCCGTAAACCACACGACTTCAGGATGGGGCAGTGGCTGATCCTTTAGATCCTGTCGTATACTGGTCTCTTCTGCCAGTATATGTTGACAGTCATGGATGACAGGCTCTGATGATTCTTCAGGTAGGAGTGTGGCTGGGTTAAGTGGGGCTGGGGGTCCCAGTGTTATTCTGTCTTTGTCAAGCAACAGGCTCTGATAGTGAGTTATTCTAGAGTTTGATAGCCATCTGTCTGGAGGCTGATGAATGATGTTCTCCAGGGCATGAGGGGCTATAATGGTTAGCTTCTGTCCCAGCGTTAATTTATCAGCATCTTTTATTAGAAGGGCTGCTGCTGCTATAGCTTTTAGGCAATGGGGCCACCCGCTAGCCACTGGATCTAGCCTTTTGGACAGGTAGGCTATAGGTCTCTTCCAGGGCCCTAAAGTCTGAGTGAGCACTCCTCGGACTATTTTTTTTTTTCAATGTAAAGAGTAAAGGGCTTTTCTGCATCCGGAAGTGCTAGAGCTGGAGCAGATAGCAGTGCCTTTTTAATATCATTAAAAGCTTGCTGATGTTTGGGGGTCCATTGGAATTGGGTGTTTGCCTTCAACAGTGGGTACAAAGGAGCAGCTAGGGATGCAAACCCAGGAATCCATAATCTACAAAAGCCAGCAGTCCCGAGAGACTCTCTAAGTTGCCTCCTATTAGATGGGGGTGGTATCTGCACAACAGTCTATTTTCTGGGCCCTGTGAGCCATCTTTTGCCATCTCTAAGGGAATAGCCCAGGAAAATAACTTCTTGCTGGCAGATTTTAGCCTTTTTGGCAGAAGCTCTGTATCCAAGCCGAGCAAGCTCGGATAATAGTGCTCGTGTTTCAGACTCACAGTTTTCCTTGGTGTCAGCTGCCAGCAGCAGGTCATCCACATATTGAAGCAGGGTGACTCCTGGGTGTGTAGTCCTGAAGTTATTGAGGTCCCTGTGGAGGGCTTCATCAAAGAGAGTGGGGGAGTTTTTGAACCCCTGTGGGAGTCTAGTCCAGTTTAGTTGGCCAGATGTTCCTGTTTCTGGATCCACCCACTCGAAAGCAAACAGTAGCTGGCTATCTTTATGTAAAGGCAAACAAAAGAAGGCATCTTTTAAGTCCAGGACAGTATACCATTTTTGTTCAGGATTTAGAGTACTAAGCAGATTCTATGGATTAGGTACTGTGGGGTGAATGTCCTGTACTCTGTTGTTGACTTCCCTTAAGTCCTGCACAGGATGATAGTCTCCTCTAGGTTTCTTTACTGGCAGTAGGGGAGTGTTCCAGGCCAATTGGCAGGGCCTTAGGACCCCTAGAGCCAAGTATTTTTGAATATGAGGCCTTATTCCATTTTTAGCTTTTTTGTTTAGAGGATATTGTTTAATATTGATTGGGGAGGCAGAGGTTTTTAATTTCACTACTATCGGAGGCTGTTTGACTGCTAAACCTAGTCCAGCAGTTTCTGCCCAGGCACCGGGGTAATTTATTATCCATTTTGGGGGTATCTTGCCGGTTTGATCAGTCTTAGAGGGCATGAAGAGTTGATGTTCATCATCTACTGACATAGTTAAAGCTGTGACTATGGGAGTCTTTACTGAAGGGTTCAGAAACTCCACTTGGGGACCATCAGGGTTAAAGGTTATTTTGGCAGATCTCTGCCCATCAATGGGGTCGGACATTCTGGGATTACCAAGAAAGAGTGATGAATTTTACCCTTCCCCAAGTCCATAGTTCTCTTAGTTGTCTAAGTCCGATATTTACTGCCATTAGCCCCTTGAACTAGTGACCTCTTGTTTGATAAGGGGCCCAATGGAGTTTTAAGGGCTGAGTATATTGCTCCTGTGTCCAGTTCGAAGTTTACTGGGGTCCCCTCCACTTCAAAAGTTACCCTGAGCTCGGGGAGGGGGTCCGAGCCCTGACTCCCCTAATCATCTTCCAGGGTTAGGATGGCTGGCTGGCGTGACGGTTTCCTTTTAGGGCATTCTCTGGCCTAGTGTCCCTTTTCCTTACAGTTAGCACATTGGTCTGAAGCCAAGGGCGATTTTTAGCGTGGGCCCAGGTACCCTTTTCTGTCTCCTTGCTTTTTAACTTCTAGTCTGTCTGCTGCTGTGACCAGGACCTTTGCCAACATCTTAGTCTGTCTTTTATTCCTTTCATCTTCCTTCTTTTCCCTTTCTTTCTCCCTTCTTCCTCTGTCTCCCTTTTATAATACACTTTCTCAGCCTCTCTGACTAAATCTCTTAAAGTCATATCTTGTAGTCCATCTAAACGTTGTAGCTTTTTTTTTAATATCTAGGGCAGCTTGCCCGATGAAGGCCATTGCAACAGATGCCTTTTGGTCCTCTGCCTAAGGATCAAAAGGAGTATATCTCCTATATGCTTCCATAATTTTCTCTAGAAACATTGAGGGTGACTCATTAGGCCCTTGGATAATCTCTCTTACCTTGGCCAGATTAGTTGGCCGTCTGGCGGCCGCTCGGAGACCCGCTATTAGAGTCCGGCGATAAGTGGACAGATGCTCCCTACCTTCGAGGGTGTTGGGATCCCAGTTGGGTCTGTTCAGGGGAAAGGCAGCTTCAATTAGATTGGGAAGTTGGGTTGGTCGTCCATCTGGTCCAAGAATATTTTTCCTGGCTTCCAGGAGGATCCTCTCTCGTTCCTCAGTTGTGAAGAGGGTCCCTAGAAGCTGTTGGCAATCATCCCAAGTAGGCTGGTGTGAAAACATCAGTGACTCTATTAAACCTGTGAGTCAGGTGGGATCTTTAGAAAAAGGGGGATTATTATTTTTCCAGTTATATAGATCAGAAGAGGAGAAGGGCCAATATTGGTAAACTTGTATTTCTCCCCCTTGTCCATCATCAATCATTGGCCCGTAGGGGCGGAGGGGGAGCATTACTGGAGCATCAGGATTCTTAATTATTCGCCGTCGGCGGGTTCCCCCTGCTGGCCCAATTTCCTCCGATGGAGGAGGAGTTGGGCTTACCGCAAGGGAGTCATCTGGAGCAGTTTCCTCTACCAAAGGGATCGGATGTGCTTCAGGGGAATTGTCTATAGGACGTTGGGAGCTGAGGGGCAAGGGATATGGGGGTGGAGGAGGGGAATCTAGTAAGGTTAGATCCTGAGATTCAGGGAGGATGGAGGGAAGAGGGGGAGGAAGAGGAGAAGGAGCGGAGGGTTTGAGGGACAGAATGGTGGGGGTAGAGGTGGAGGCAGGTACAAGAAAAGGTTTCGCCCACGAAGGGGGAGATTTACAGAAGTTCTGCCAAGTGAGAATATATGGCTGTTGATCTGGATGACCATGTGGCCCCGGCTGGAAGACAATATTTCTGACTTTTCGGATTAGAGGGAGGTGGAAGGATCCTTCTGGGGGCCATCCAACTCCGAGAGTGGGCCATTCTGATGTACAGAGAGTCTGCCAGTTCCTGCGTTTCACTGAAAAAGAGAGATTCTGGGCCCTTGAGTGGACTTTAGTCCAATGATCAAGGGTCAAAGACAGGGGAGTTGAGGTACCTTGTCCCATAATGAGGGATATGCAAACAGTGAAAGTAATGACACAGACAACAAAGACAAACAATAGAAGTCCACCACAAGTTTGAAATAGAAACCAAAACTGAGTAGCCGGCAGAACCTGACGGGCTGGCAGCAGAGTCACTGAGTCTGAATCAGTGGCAAAATACACCTGAGCTGAGGGCTCTTCTGTCCCTCGCATCTGGGGCACTTCCGTCCCTCGATTTCCCGAGTCCACCAAGGCGTCCCCTGGGGACGTGGCCTGTGGCTTCTAGACACGTCTGTCCACCACCATTGGGGAGAACTTACGCTTTCCGCCAACAGCCACCTTGCCAAGCCCTAAAATTAAAAGTCCTGAGAGATCGCAAGGAAGAAAACAAAATCAAAACAAAAAGGAGGCGCCTTACTTCCCCCAAGAAATGTCCGTTGGGGTCTTTCGTCCACCGCTGCCAAATCCCGGACGAGCCCCCAAATGTTAGGGTCGGGCAAACGTCGGAGGAAAGGACCACCAAGAGACTGTCTCATGCAAAAGCAAAGGGGTTTACTGGACCAGCATGCTGGGGTTCAGAGTTCTCCTGAGAGAAGCTGGAGCTCTGAGCACAGCTTAAGCAGAGTTTTTATGCAGTGTTTAAACAGGGAAGTTCATATGGCAGTTAGGGTGCGAGGGTGGGATTGTTACAAAATAACCATTACAGAATAATCATGTGTTTTGTCAGCGGGTGTTGGGTCAGGGTACATTTTGACATAAGTAACTGTTTTTAACATAAGTTTCGGGTTCCAGGAAAACAGAACTTAAACTTAACAGGAGAGCAAAACTTAAATTTAACCTTTACACTACCTTTTTGGAATTTATTTGTGGAAGAATAAAAGGCAAAAAAGAAAAAGACTACAGCAGTGCAAATTTATGGATTGTTTAGGATTGAGAGTTACACAGTAAAGTTCCCATACTAACTAGTTCCAACCAAACATAAAAACTGTTAATCCATTGCAAATGATGCTAAGTTATTATCTATAAGCACCACATATTATAATAGGTGCTTTATTTATTTTAATTCACTGCAACTTCAAAATAACATTATGAAAGATAGGTTATTTCTCACAAATGGGGAAACTATAATGTAGGACCGTTACATATTATTATGGCCTGAATGTATGTGTCCCCAAAAAGTCATATTGAAATTTTAACTGCCAAATGATGGTATTAGAAATTGAGGGCTTAGGAAAGTGATTAGATCATGAGGACAGAGTCTTCATAATTAAGATTAATGCTCTTATGAAAGAGACCCCAGAAAACTAGTTTACCCTACCACCATGTGAGATAGTGAGAAAGCAGCAGTCTACAGACCAGAGGAGGGCTCTCACCAGGATCTAAAAATGCTGGCACATTGACCTTCCTATTTCCAGCCTCCAGAATTATAAAAAATAAATTGCTGTTATTTATAAACTACCCAGTCACTGGTATTTTGTTATAGCAGCCCCAATGTTAAAAGCCACACAAAGAGTAAACTGAATAACAGACTAGATGAGGGCAAATAGTTATGTCAACCTACAAACAAAAAGGTTTAAATGTTCCTGTTAGATGTACAAACAGTAAACTGTGGCTGGTCATAAATGGAAAGATTCATTTTCATTGTCTTCCAATTGGACCCTGAAATATGTGGAAGGAGTGCTATTTGGAGACCCGAGAGGACAGTCTTATATGACAACCTGTTAGGTTTTCATTCCTTTTTTCCTGTCTTTTAAAAAATGTTTTTATTAGTTCATTATAGTTATACATGACATCGGAGTTTGTTTTCCCACAATCATATATGTATCATTCAGTCCACTTTGCCTCTGAAGCTTTTTGAGGTAAGAATAACATGATCACATAATTATAGCAAGACTTGGAATTTCAAGTTAAGAAGAGCCCTTGAGCAATCCGGCCTAACCCTCTGAACTTAAAAGGGGGAAAATGAGGTCTCCAGATGTGAGGCTGCACACCTAGGGCTTTTGTTATGGCCTTTAACTTTTTCAGCTGGATAATTGACCAGGTTGGTAAGCTTGCCTCCATTTTTCTATCGACTGAGTTCAGATTGTAGTGGCTTCTCACCAGCATCCCAAGATGAGCCCTGAAGAGACCGTCAAAGCTGGCAGAAAAGGAAACTAATTTTGAAAACAGAGGGATTAAGTGAGGGTGACAAAAGGATTCAGTTTCTCAGTTTCCAGAATGTCTGGCATTCACGAAAGGGATCATCCATTGGGTTGTGAAAAATCCCAGTTGATAGCCCCTGATCATAGCTCCACTGTAGTGCTTTGTGAAAACTGGCATTATCAAGGCAGGGAATACAAATCTTGAAAGGATGGAAGAAGTTTGGTTATAAACAACTGAAGAGTTGTTGGTGCTCCAGGTGTGTTAGGTTTAGTGATGCAGCTATCTCCTGGACAAAAGACAGATTCACCTGTAATTTTGCTCCATTAAAAGATGAAATAGCTTTGTCTGACCACAAAACTATTCCTCCTTCCTTGGTCCCTTCATAGCAAATGACTCTATATACCTCTCAATTGTGCAAGCCAGAAATTTAGATACCACTTTTCATTGATCTCTGTACATTATTACCCTGATACCCAATCAATACCAAGCCTCCTGTCTTTTGAATAGCCCTTTGCCCTAGACACTCTGCTCTGGCCTTAGTTTAGGCCATCATCACACCTCATCTAAATGATCACAATAGTCTTTCTTTGTTTTTCCTATCTCAAGTCTTGCCACCCTTCATCTGTTCTCCACGCTGCTGTCAGAGAGATGGAGAAAGTCAGACTATTTGAAATAATGTTGATTTCTGAGAGAATACTTTTTGTTCAGAATGTATATGTTTTATTGTCTTTTCCTGCTTCCTACAAAAGAAAATGATGGACCAGGAAGTGTGGGTGATAGGATCTTGGCCACAGACTGAGGGAATTCTTTTTCCCCCCACAGAATCAACTAAACAGTTATTTTCTCAATTTGCTCAAAAGCAAGTCATCAATTCTTTGAGATCTTAAATGCCATCCTTCTCAGTTTAGGTTAAGAGCTTTGCAGAAATATGTTTTCAGAGGGCTTACCGAAAGAGAAATTTCATTATTTAGCTGTTTGGGATTATAGTTTCAGTTTTCTGTTATAATAGAAAGGTGTACTTAGAAAGGCAACTTAAGTCAGGGGTGAAGAATAGCAATGAAGATTTTAGTCAAGGTTCTCCTCAATTCTGAACATAAGTTGTCTTTCCTAGTCAGTTCTGATGGTTGGGGAAGAGGGCAGCAAATTGTTGACTCTTTATTGTATCAAGTGGGAGACATGTTATCTCGTTAGCTCTCTGACGTAGCTATTACCAGCAGCAAATTTTACAAATAAGAATACTGAAAAAACTTGCTCCAAGATTCTAGATCTGGTAAGTGGGAAGCCAGGAATCAAACCCAGGACGTGTCAGTCTGCATTGGTAAGCGTGGCTTTCCACCACATTGACATAGATGTTGCTTTTAATACTCAAAAAAATCTTTTATCAGGTGGGGTTTCCCATTCTTTTGATACGGTTATTAAGGTTCAGTGTTTGAAACTTGCCCTGCATCAGTCAGTAAGTGGCAAAGCAGAGACTGGGATTCATGCTTGGCTGCTTCTGGAGTCCATGAGTCTCCGTGATGTCTCCCAAGAGAGTGTCTGTTTATTGTCTCACAAACGTGACTAACAGTTAAATAATGGTTTCCAGAAGTGACCGAATAGCTAGCAATGATCATAAAAACACATTATCAGAACTTCACAGTGTAACCTATGTGCTTAGCAAATATTGTTAAAATGAGGTTTTGACCAATAAAGGGTCAGGGATGTTAGTATAAATTGGTCAAAAGGGTGAGGGTTTCTTTAAAACTTGATCGGGCAATTTACTCCCTATCTGACTCTCATTCAGTTCTGAGCAAAATGAAGGGCTCCATTTTCACTCTGTTTTTACTCTCTGTCCTATTTGCCATCTCAGAGTCGAGGAGCAAGGAGATTGTGAAGCTCTGTGGGCTGGAGTACAGAAGAACAGTCATATACATCTGCGCCAGCTCCAGGTGGAGAAGGCACCTGGAGGGGATCCCTCAAGCTCAGCAAGGTAATTTGGCTCACTTGTGTCCCTTACTCTCTAGACCTGCCTTTTTTTTCCCCTTAGATTTTCTTAACAGTTATTTTATTTTTGGTACTAGGGATTGTACTCAGAGGCGCCTTATCATTGAGCTGCATCCTCCACCCTTTTATTTTTTATTTTATATTTTGAGAAGGGGTCTTGCTAAGTTGCTGAGGTCGGCTTCAATCTTGCAATCCTCCTGCCTCTGCCTCCCAAATTGCTGGGATTACAGGTGTGTGCCACTGCGCCTGGCTTAACAGTTATCTTAATAACTATTTCTCTAAGAACTCCTAAGCCATTTCTATATCAGTCTGGGGGATTATCCAAATAAACTGAATTTGGCTTGGGAAACAGGTGAGTTACCTTTAAAAAAGATAAGATCTCATTTTCTTTAGTCTTTTGCTCGAAATCATAGGATTGCCTGGCTCCTTTCATGAGCTTAGCATCTACTGCAGGTGTTATCAATGTGCAATACATAGAAGTAAGCAATTTCAAGGGACTATTGGCATAGCAAGACTTTCACACCAAGATAACTATTTAATGTAATAAATTGGAATTCAGGTAGGTGTCAAATAATGATGAAAGGAAGAAATCTGATTTTTATTGGGCACTTATTAAGTGCCAAGCAGTTTTATATGTATCATTTCATTCAGTCTGATAAGGATGCAAGAAGTAGGTAATATTATCACTGTTTACCATTTTACCAAGGAGAAAACTCTCCACCCAGTTTTCTGGGTCAGCTGTGTGGCTAGGAAGCGAATCAGTTTTATCTGGCTTCAAGAGTCAAAATATTTGTTTATTCTACACTGCATCAAAGGGAGTAAACTATTGCAATGAATTACAGCACTTATTACTTTATTTTTTATAAATTAACAAATAAAATTGTGTATATACAACATATTGTTTTAATATTGTATGCACTGTGAAATGGCTAAGTTATTTAACACATACAACACCCACATATTTATCTTGTGTATGTGTGTATGTGCATGAATGTGTGGTGAGAACTAAAAATCTATTCTATTAGCAATTTTCAACAATAGAATATGTTGCTATTAACTGTAGTCACCAGGTTGTACAGTTGATCTCTCAAACTTAATCCTTCCATTTAAATGAAATTTTGTACCTTTTGACCAGTATTTCCCCAAAATCCCATCCTCCTGCCCCAGCTCCAGGTAACTTCTATTCTCCTCTCTCCATCTGTGTTTCCACTATTTTTAGATTCCACATTTAAGTCAGATCATACAGTATGCATCTTTTTGTACTTGATTTAAAAAGGGAATTGGGATGGGAATAGGAAAGACAGTAGAATGAATCAGACATAACTCACCTATATTTATATATGAATACATGACCAGTGAACTCCACATCATGTATAACCACAAGACTGGGATCCTAATTAGATTAGGTCATACTCCTTGTATATATGTCAAAATATACTACTGTCATGTGTATCTAAAAAGAACAAATAAAAAATTTTAAAAGATTCTATTTTAACAATGGGTTTTATTTGTTATGCTTTACAATAAAAAATATAAGAACTGATTAGTAATAAATGCTGCAATTGCATATAAGACTGTAAAAATTCTAATTTAGCTTAAAATGAACTTGGTAAATAAAATATTTTAGAAAATGAACCACAGTGTTCATATTTTGGTGGTCTAATATCTTGAAATAGCATGATCTTGCCATTACTGCTTTAATATTGAGGCTTATATTACTAGGTAGCAATAGAAACAATAAGGGTTTTTTAATCTTAAGAGAGTATGCATATTTACTAGGATTTATGTTGCTCTCTAGATTATTAAACCAAAATGTACTAGGAAAAAAAAAAACATTTGAAATATCTCTGAAATATTTGGGGCAGTGAAATGAATGTATAAGTCGATCTCTTTTAGACACCACCAAAATCATAATGTTATGTACTAAAACTTTCACAGGTTTTCCCATACATTCTTTATATAGTTAATTACTGGTTTACCAACCAGCATTTATTCATCTAATTTTTCTTGGTGATAGCTAGTGTGCTAAGTAAGTTTGAAATGAATTGTGAGAGAAGCTATGTGGGGACTTTGGGAACAAAGTCCTACATTTTATTTTCAGATATAGAAGTTTAAGTCTCCATGCCCTTCCTTTCTCATCAGTGTTGTAGGGAACACACAGGGTTTTCCTTTGCTTATAGCAAGTAACTAAAACCTTGGGAAGCTGCTAGTTGTGGAGCAGAGGTGACCAGCAGCAGAGGTGGCCAGCAGCAGTCAAGCCTTGATCTGGCTCTAACCAGCCAATGGACACTCTTAACTCTTTAAATTGAAGTTTCCTACTCTGCAAAATGAAGAGTAGACATGACAGAGCTGTTCCTCAAAGGCCAAATCTCTCTGAAATCAGAACAATATTTTTAAAAATCACATGTGGGATTCAATTTCATTTCAGAAATTTAATTCATTTCTTCAAGAGCAGAATGTGGCTGCTGCCTTCTTTGTTGGGGCTATTTAAGGTAGTATTTTTTTTTTCTTTCCTACAGGTGAGAAAAGAAACTACTTTCAACTCCCAAATAGACATGAGGCTTCTGAGGAAAACATAGCCCAGGACCTGCCCAAAGTGGATTCCTCAGGCGAGGAACATGTTGGGGATGGACAGATACCCACGGAAAGGCGTTGGGAGTCAAAGAAACATTTGGTGATGTCAAGACAAGACTTAGAAACTTTGTGCTGCACGGAGGGCTGTTCCATGACTGATCTGAGCACACTTTGTTAAGGCAAAAGCAAATTCTCGATGGGTGGTGGAGCTTTAGCATGCATTTAATCTCCTTGTTCTACTGCCTTGTAGGATGCTAGTATTCCATCATAGAACATGGCTTTCAGTTGGCAGGTCTTTTCTAAAAGCTGTATCTAGTGGTTAAAAATACAGTGAGGCCTATTTTCTCCCTTTGCCAAGGTGAATGCACTTTTTTTCCAATTCTAAATAATGCTTTGAAATTTAAAATACTGTGCAAATTGAAATAAAAATGCCATTAAACCAAGCTCATAGTGATTTTTTTTCTTTTAAAATTTGTGAATACCTTTACAACAGTAAATAGAAAATGCTGATGGTAGTAAAACTTGAAAAATAGGCATTATAAAGGAGGTAAAATGAGCTGTTATCCAGAAAAACTTGTTGGTCATTGTGTATCACTGGAAATTTAAACATTGACTTATGGTTAAATAAGAATCAAGGAGTTTTTTTTTTTTTTTTTCAAAAGACCTGAAAATGTAGTCCTTTGATACCTCCTTGAGAAAAGCCAGGGGCATATATGTGTCAATCAAGTCCCATAAACAACAGAAACTCAGAGTTTGTTTGAGCAATGAGCTCCTTCCTGAAGTCTGGGCCACCTTGATTTTGCCTCTCTACTGCAGAGATAAAAGGACATTTTGTTCTCTGCCGCAGTCCGGCTGCAGCAAAATAACCGGGGGGTGACGAACGACTTGTGTAGATTGATACAGCAGGAGTAGGAGCCATTTATTGCAGGACAGGAGCAGTATTTATACATTCCACACAGCTTACCTAATTAGCATAAACTAGATACATCAGTCAACCAATAAGGAATCTCCACACTTAATGGCTCGCTTTTGTTACTTCTCAAACCACTCCCTCTGGCATTTTGCCAGGCACCATCCAGTCTTGTTTATGAACTCTAACATTCCCCTGGCAAAATGCCAGGTATTATTTTGACTTGTTTACAGACTCTGACAGTTCTCATTCTGGAATTGAGAAACCAAGACCCAGATAGCCAAGCCATTGTTGTGCAGTTAGATATCTTCACAGATAAAAAGATAAGACAACCACAAAACAACATTTTCTTTTCTACTCTGACAGCCAACCCCTCAGTTGTGTTGTAAAAAAAGTCAAAATTTCTGTTCAACTGAAGTTCCACTCTTATTAGTACCATAGTCAATCTTTGAACACTACCCCCTCCATGTCGAGTGGTCTTGTCAACATGCTGTGCATAGCATTTAAACCCTTCCTTCATACATTACAAACAGTACTTTATCATCAATGCACAGATAAGGAAATTGAGGCTCAGTGGAATTATGACAAAGGGTAATGAACGAAGGAAAAGGGACAGGAATAGGAAAGACACTAGAATGAATTGGACATAACTCTCCCATGTTCATTTATACCACCAGTGAAATTCCACATCATAACCACAATAATGGGAGCCTAATTAGAATAAGTTATATTCCGTGTGTGTATAATATGTCAAAATACACTACTATCATGTATATCTAAAAAGAAAAAATTTTGAAAATTAAAAAAGAAAAAGAAAATGTGTCCTAAGTCACACAGCTAAACACAGCTAAGTGGATTGTGTTTTACTGGATCCAAACTTAAGCTGCTCAGTATGAATCAAAGCAGTCATACTAAATGGACTGTTAGTCAAAGTTTTCTTTACCACAAGGTACTCCTGATAGGATAGAATAAATAAGAAATAGGTAGAAAGAAGGCATGAAGGAAGAACAGGAAATGAGATTTTAATTTTTTAAACCATATATATATATATATATGTAGATATATACAATATATATATTAGTTGTTGATGAACCTTTATTTAATTTATTTATTTATATATAGTGCTGAGAATAGAACCCAGTGCCTCACACATGCCAGGCAAGCACTCTATCACTGAGCCACAACTCCAGCCCCAGATTTTAATTCTTAAGTTCCACATACTTTTCCAAGCATGTTACTTGGTACACCAGTCTCTCTTGCAGGAGACTGCCAGTTCCTGGGAAATCTGTCAATCTACCTGTACATTGTTAATTAAAAAGAGAGATCTGATATCATGAAAAAGATTTAATTTAGGGGACTTTTCCTGATCAGATAATGAAGACCATGTCAGCCTAAGGATCCTGAGATTGACCAGACCATCAGAACCAAGAGATCACCAGACTGATACCATTCCTACATACCTTCCCATACTCATCCCTCTCCAAGTGTCCTTTAGAAGAAGAGCTGGGAACTCCACAATGCATCCTTAACATTCTCCCTCAAATTCTCATTCCTTGCTTTCCCCCAAAGGTGTGTCTCTCTCTTTTATTTGTTATGTTTATTTAATGAATGTCCATAGTATAATCAGAATGTTTTAAGATAAAACAAATATTATAAGCAAGCACATAATGTAAAATAGTTAGAAAACAAGAAAACCAGTGAAATCAAAGCATATTGAATCAAGTTTCAAAGTGTTTAAGACACAACAGTGGTAAAATATTAACTCTGCCAACTTCAAAAGAAATACAGGATTCTTACAACTTGTAGTATAAAAAGACTTGTAGATTGTAAATATTTAAGACAAGTTTCACAATTGAGAATGACTTTATTTCCTTGGAGATGGCAGGCCTACAGAAATCAACTGCCATTACTTAATAATAACATGAAAATCAATTTCAGTTGCATTCTTTTATATATATATATATATATATATATATATATATATATATATATATATACACACACACACACACACATACATACACACACATACCAAGGATGGAACACTGAAGACTCAACCACTGAGACACATTCCCAGCCTTTTCTTTTCTTTTTTCTTTTTGTATTTTATTTAGAGACAGGGTCTCATTGAGGTGCTTAGGGCCTCACTAAGTTGCTGAGGGTAGCTTTGAACTTGCAATCTTCTTGTCTCAGCCTTCTAAGCTGCTGGTATTATAGGTGTGCACCACTGCACCTGGCTCAATTTCAGACACATTCTTTTTAAAAATTAAAAAAAAATTTGTAGTTGTAGATGGACAGAATGCCTTTATTTTACTTGTTTATTTATATGTGGTGCTGAGGATCGAACCCAGTGCCTCAGGCATGCTAGACAAGCACTCTGCCGCTGACCTACAGCCCCCAGCCCCAAACACATTATTTAAAACAAAACAAAACTAGAAAAGACCAGCAAGGTCCACGTATTTTATCCACAGTAATTGGAAAAAAAAAACTATTTTATTGCATTAATGTGTGCTAAGCATTTTACATACATTATCTAAGTAAATTTCACAAACATATTGAAACACCCTATTACTTTTATCCTCATATTTTATGTGAAAATATGGAGGTACAAAGAAATTCAATAACCTATCTGATGCTACAGAATAATTAGTAAAGCAAGGGCTCAAATTGCATAATCTTTTTTTCTTTTTTAACTACTGGGGATTGAACCAGGGATTCTTTACTACTGAATTATACTCCCAAGCCTTTTTATTTTGAGGAGAGTCTCACGAAGTTGCTCAGGAACTTGGAATCATCCTGCTTCATTCTCCCAAGTTGGCTTGGCTATCTGGGTCTTGGTTTCTCAATTCTAGAATGAGAAATTCTAGAAATTCTTGGTTTCTCAATTCTAGAATTCTATCTTTGCAGTAGAGAGGCAAAATAAAGGTGGCCCAGACTTCAGGAAGGAGCTTATTGCTCAAACACACTCTGAGTTTCTGTTGTTTATGGGACTTGGTTGATACATATACGCCCCTGGCTTTTCTCAAGGAGGTGTCAAAGGACTACATTTTCAGGTCTTTTGAAAAAACACCTTGATTCTTACTTAATCGTAAGTAAATGTTTAAATTTCCAGTGAAAATATACAATGACAACAAGTTTTTCTGGATGAAATAACAGCTTATTTTACCTTCTTTGTAATGCCTATTTTTCAAGTTTTAGTACCATTAGGGAAGTTCTCACTGGGAAGGATTACTGATGTATGCTACCATTCCTGGCTCAAACTATATGACTTTTATTGTTTCGTTGTAATTGATCCCATCTTAGACTGAACAGTCAACAAAAATCACAAGCTTGCACGAATAGTTGGGATGTACAAATGGAGAACATCTCTACAACTTTGATGATTACATACATAATGACTTGCAGAAATGAAAACACAATGTTTCCAACATTAGAAATAAAGTGTAGGAGAGTGGTTACTAGAGACTGGGGAGAAGAGGGGAAAAAGGGGTGTGCGTGAGTGTGTGCGTGTGTGTGTGTGTGTGTGTGTGTAGGGGGGGAGAGAATGGCCAATGGATATAATGTTACAATTAGGAAGAATCAATTCTAGTGTTCTATGGCATGGTAGAGTGAATATGATTGATAATAAGGCATTGTAATATCCTCAAATAGTTAGGAGAGAGGATTTTGAATGTACTCACTATATAGAAATGAGAGATTAAAGTTACAGATAAGCTGATTACACTGATTTGATCATTACTCAATTTATATATCAACTAATTCAGCACCTAATGCCTTGTAAGAAGGTACAAATATCATGTCTCAACAAAAAAATAAAATTAACAAAATTAGAAAAAAAAAAGAAAAAGAAGAAGAAAGGAACCACTTCACATCTATGATGAAGCCTGGGAAGAGAAACCAGATGTCTCCTAGATACAGAGACATCTGATCACACACTGTTGGCCCAGCAGTACTAAAAAAGACAGGCAGACAGGTTATGGGAGGAACTGATGGAGCAGAAGTTGAACTCTACTACCCAAAAGAAACTTGGTGGGATGTTGAGTAAAAATATGATAAACAGCACGACAGGTAAATGTATCTAGGTATACAATATTATTATTTATTTGTAAAAAGGTACTTCTGAATTGATTGGTTCACACTCTTGTCTTATTACATTATTTATTATTCAATAATTATTTAATTAGAGAATAAGGTACCAAATGCTGTTTTGGATGCTGAGGATATATTTGTGAATAAAATAGACAAAAAAGGTGAATATTTTCAAGGAAGGCAGCTGTAAAGAAGAGAAATATCAGATAATGACTGATTCTGAGAAGAAAATAAGCCATGGAAGGGAAATAGAGAGGCTTGGGTGGGGGCAGAGGTCTCACTGGGAAGGCAGCCACTGAAAGAATTTTTGTAACAATGGCGATGGACATCCCTCCATGGAGATGGCTTCAGTGTTCCTTACTCTGAGTGACATTTGCTGATTAAAAGTAAATACACCAAGGGCTGGGAGTATAGTTCAGATGGTAGAATACTTGCCTCACATGC